ATATTTTAATTCACTGGCATCACATCATGTACACAATGAGAAGAGGAAGGCAAGTAATAGTTTAGATTTGTTGTTCCAGGCTCTCTGCAAACTCAGCAAAAATGTGTCTATATTCTCCATAGTTTAATTCTTATGTCCTGTAATGTTTATTTTAAGCACATCTGGAGACTGCTTTTGGGATTTTTCAAAAGTAGAACAGTGAAGAATACTTTGGAAACACTTGTCTTACAATGCTATATGCCTGGCAAAATATTTAATTAATGAAGTATATTTTGTCCCAGCAGACAGCTCATTATTCATGCAGATACCTGTCTACTGGATTTGACTTCTAGGTGCTTCAGCTTTAAATCCTCAACAGCATATCAGGTTTCTTTGCAAGCTGTCATAATCTATTGTACATACACCATGTCAACAAGTTTTAATAAGCACTGGGAAGAAGTGCCTTTCCAGTGTGTTTTTTTCCTCAACAAATGAGAAAAGACCTGAAAGACCTGTTGTCTTCCTTGGCAACTCAGGCTTGAAAACTAAGCTGCTTCAGTGAACTTCTTTGACCGCTTTTCACCTGAGTGCTCAAGATTTGATACATTTTTTAAGAAACTGAAGCTGTCACAAAATCATTGTTGCAATAAAACAAAACAGGCCACATTGTATACCAGATGCATCCTAAACTCAATACTGTATTTGTAGAACTGGGTGGAGGGGCTTGACTTAGTGCTGAAAACTATAAAGGGATGTTGGCGTAGAAGTCTCTTTGCTGAAAACACTGCATAGCTGTGATGCTGACACTGGAAACAAATTCCTCTTGAGCTCCAAGAGATTCATGTTTAAAAAGTAAATGCATTTAACCATGGATTGATGGATGATACAGACTAATCTAATGGTTCAGCTGAAGCATAGCCTAGTGACTTTAGATTGTATAGGCTTGACCCAGCGAGTTATCTTCAGGTCCAGAGCAGGGCCAGTCCCCCATTAGGTAGAGTGAGGTGACTCACTGCTTTGGGCTGGGCAACTAATTTTAGGTGTTGTGAAAGTTGCTTCATTTATTACAGTTGTTGTTGTTACTTCCAGAGAGGTGAAGAGGTGCTTGTGGGATGTTCTGTCTCACATAGCAAAATACCTAGACTGATATTGAGAACTATATATTTTGATTAAGGAAGGGTATGCAACAATTGGTCACTCTGTCTCATGTAGCAAAATGTTTTGGGCCAGTCCTTGTGCAGAGAGAAAATGGTGGCAGACAGTAAGGACTAGCTATGATGACTATGTCCTACCTCAACTGTTAGAGGCAGAATATTTCTGAATGCCAGTTGCTGGGACTCACAAGTGGAGGAGAGTGTTTCCCCTCCACTCAAGCCTGCTTGTGGGCATCCCATCTGGTTGACCTCTGTGTGGTCAACAGGATGCTGGGCTAGATAGCTCATTGGTCTGACCCAGTGGGGTTCTTCTTACATTCTTAACATGATGCTAGGATGTCTTTGGATTGACTACAACTGTCATAATTACTGGGAGCCTGTCCTTCTGCCTTGGCCTTCTGCCTGCTGCACTTCACATTCCACCCCAGTCTTGGCTTCAGGGGTTCAGAGCTAGAGAGCACATCCTCAAGATCTAGATTTTTACATGGTCAACTACTGTCCTAATCTGGCCCTGGTATTGGGGAGCCTATGCTGGGCTAGAGATGTTGCAAACATTCAATCAAGGGTGCTTGCAAAATCAAGAACCACTTGTTGAAACACTCATGAGTTGGATTAAGGACAGTGGGGCCCTGCTCATCTTGATCATGCAAGGTGCCTACACTTGTGTCCCAAAGACCCAGACAGAAATATTTATTGTTCAATAATAAGGAAATTATTGCTTTAGCCTTTCCTCACTCAACATATCTGTACCTATCTTCAAAAACAGCTTTCAAGGCCTATGGCTTTTATGACATATGTAGCATATAGCAGACGGTTAGAACTAAAATAAGCAATAAATAATAATAGAGGTCTTTAGTATTATAGCACTTAGGAATGTTTGAATGTTCAGTAATACTAAGTGTGGTGTACCCATAGGTGCAGCTGTTGCCCTTTATGAGCATTCAGAGGGCGGCACTACACACTTTGCATTATTTTTAATAGGTTTGTACAGTAGAATGACCCTTGACAACTGAGGAAATCCTGATGTGGTGCATATTATGCATACGCTCTTGTGAAGAATGTGACAGATTTTGCAATCCACATATTCCGAGCACACACGATGCTGCTTCTTATAGCCATGCTTCTATTTACAGGATTTAAATTGCCTGGAGTTGTGGAAACAGGGAACCATCTGTCAGAACATGCTTTTGTGAATTTATTGTGTTCATGCTATAACAGAAAGTGACTTAGGAAGCACATATCTCATATAATGCAAGCTACAATTCACTTCCTGTGTATTGAAACTGACACTTAAAAGCTCAGTGTGGCTTAAGAATGATGTGTAATTCAAAAGCAGATTATACTTCTTGTATATGATGGATTATATTTACTGGTTATAGCTTCTAAAGCTCTAAATCTGGTTTTCACCCAGAGTGTGAATGGTTTTCCCCATCCTGTTCTTTAAGGCCAGCCTGGGAAGATGGAAATCATCAGCTCATGGTTATTGGGATTAAAAGATTTGTGGGTCGTTAAAGATGGGGAAACAGTACAGAGGGGAATGGTTAACCTCCCCTCCATAAGCACCTCTGCTTTGATCAAATTTGTAGTCCCCTACAATTGATTTAATGCAAAAAAAAAAAAAAAAGATTGCATGCTTTAATGCTTGATTTCTCATGAATGGCCTGTACATGTGGCATATAGTTTGACCATCAAAGCAGACTTTAACTTGATGGTGCAACTATAGAATAGCCTTCTCAGAGAAGCCTATCAGGAAGCATTACTACCATGCCAAATCAAGAAATTTTCATACTCCAAGGTTTTTGGGTGTGCAATATTCTTTTATTGAACAGTATGCCGGGTGTTTTTTGGTGTGCTAGGATTGAATTGTCAGATGGTTTTCTTATTTAGAATAGGAAATGTACAGTCTTCAGAACTGGATGCTCAGTGATCAATCCAGACAAAATGAATTATATATCAGTTCTGCTGAAATCAATGGGATTCATGTTAGTCCTTGCTAATGAAGGCCCATTGATTTCAACAGAACTTACTTGTGACTAAAATGATTTGAATTGGGATAATTGTGTGTTACATTTATAAACAACTAGCAAGGAGTGCCTAGCGCTGCCTGGGTAGTTTTAGAAACCAAAAAATAGTGTGAGTTTTAAAATGGATAGTTCAGTTTGTGAATTTGGACCCACCACATCAAATATAAAGTGAAGTCAACCCAAAGTCACATTTTGGTCTAGCATCTTGATTCAAAATGATTTCCAATGTCCAAACATCAGCAAAGATTGCTGCCGCCCCCCGAAAACCCTTGTCCCAGGTGTGGTGATGGTATTTTGAAAGGTGACTGAATCTATGTCAAAAAATGGGCCACGTCACACCCAAGTGATGTTTTGGTCCATCTTGATTCAACATGGTGCCTGGCACCCAAACATCAATGTAGACCCCACCCTCACATCAGGAACACTTGTACTGAGTTTGGCAACAATATTTTGAGAGGTGTCCAAATGTGTTGTAAGGATCACTGAAATAACATATGCCATAAAAATATTAAGCATAAGTATTACGGTTTTGAAAATAATAAATATTAACATTATATGCCTAGTCTTCCTATTCATGCTGCAGATGTTAAGATTTGCAACCAGAGTGTACATTTGAAGTGTAGGAATCATATGTGTTAATTCCCACTTGAGATATTGTAAGAGTGTAAGGCATTTGCCTGCGTCAGATCTGTCTGGCTATATTTACAGTAATGTTCCAGTATGTCTTAATTGACTTCAGTGTTACTACTCCAGAGTCCTTGCTAGAAGAAATTAAGAGGAACTGCCTGCTGGATTAGAGAAGGGGCACATTTAGTTTAGAATTATGCCTCCAATAGTGGAGTCTAGAATTGCCTCCTACAGTGGCCAGACAAATGGTATAATATGGTTTGGCAAAATACTCTTCTTAAGATGTTGTGGTCTTTCTAGTACATATAGTTACAGGAATCAATAATCACTTGTGTTAAGCTAATGCATAATTGACAGTGCCAGACCTTAGCAGCAGTATTTAGAGTGTTTATGATTTTAAACTCTAAGTCAAATTTTACTAATTTTCTCTAAGTGACCTTTAATATTACTGATTGGAAGCTATTTATGTGTTCTAAAAATTCATCTAATGTTCAAGAAATGGGATTATTATTTCCCCTTTTATAAATATTACTCTCTCCATTCATGGTCGCCTGGAACACAAGGGTTAATATAATCTGCAGTTATAGTAGTCACTGAAACAAGTATACCATGAGTAATGGTTGTGGTGATCTATTTTTATGAATGCAGATATACCCTTGGCCATCTGTTAATCAGCTCCTCATTATGCCTTTTAAACATTCATTTTTTGCTTACAATGACATAACTAAGTATCCTTGAAGTTAATCATGTGCAATTCTGTTTAGCTATTCAGTTTCAACTGATTATCTCCTTCATGCGTTCTTTTCTGTGATCTATGGAACTAGAGCAGCAGTAAACTGATTTCTCTGCTCCTCTTCCAAAAGAAGATTATTGCTACAACCAGAGTGGCTCCATGGCAAATCCAGACAGATAGCCATGCAAAATGGTGAAGGTATAATTGTGAAAGGTTCTTTCACATGTACTAAATACTGCATGACTACAGTTCTTTGTTCAGCTGTTAATAACATATGTCACAAATCAAAAGGAAAGTTGAAGGTAGCAAAGTTGTAAGGAGCATTGATTGAAATATGATGTCACACTTACATTGTTGCTTCTCCAAGTACAAATCGTTAACCCAATCTAGCTAGAGAGCATGCGTGTACTAAAGCAGGCATTTTATCCCAAGCTGGATGAGGAAACCTGTGTGCTATAGACAGAGTTAACATTTCCTACTCACCCAATCCAGTAGCTGGGACTGTGCAATGATATTCCAGAAAATTAGTGGTAGCATCAACCGGTCTGTCAGGATGGAAAGAAAAGAGCTGGATTTAGTCCATTTAATCAGACCCCTGATTAGCATGGTTGTGCATAGCCCTAACTACTGTAATCACTTCAGGAAAATTCCAAAGCATTTTGAAATCTGTCTTAATGATTTGCACCTGGATGACAATAGTATTCCAGACTCTTTTTAATGTACGTCAGTTTTATATCAGAACTTTGGAAGAAGGCTTCTGAATAAGCGGATTTTTAAAAATAATTAGGATATGTTCATTACACATTCTCCTTGTTCAAATTAGTGCAAGAAACAAAACAACACAATAATATTAGCATTAATTCTGAAATAAGTGATAAAGAGCCTATCTGTCCATATGTTAAAAGTCATAAACAGAAGCATTTGTTAAGAAGAAGAAGAATATTTTGTCAGGCAACTATATCTTACACCAATAGTGTACTTTTGGACCAACATAACATTGCCAGTCATCAGAAGCTGTTGCCACCATCTAGTTGCATCTTTACATAGCATTTGTGGAATTGAAAACATGGTAGCTAGGAGAAAAAGTACCTGCAGAAATTGACCCAAGGCCTAGTAAAGGGAAGTCCTCTTTCTGCATATAACTGCTAGTTCTCCTTCTGCACAAAACTGCACAAAACTGCTGCATTTTGGGGAAGCCTTGCACCTCTTTTTCTTGCATTCTGGAAAGTCTCGCTTACAATCTGCTTCTGCACAAACTGTACAGATCTGTTCTAAACACCAGGACATTCTTTTCCTTGTTCAGTCATCCTAAGCTCATGGAAAACAACATGACCCGCTCTTCATGCCTAGCTGACCACATCTACAGAACTTGATTGTTATATTGTTTCATGCCATGATCCATCATTACAATTTAATTAGGAGGCTTCATGCCTGTCTAGTTCTACCTTCGATTCCCAGCCGATTCCCAGCCTTTAATCCACCGATAATAAATGATCATACGTAACCCCCATTTCTCACATGTAATTCCCGCCTTATGCTTATGTTAACCAATCAGCAACAAGTTTCTTTGTGTATGTATGTATCAACCAATCAGCGACAAACACACCTGTGGCAATGCTTGTAATATTCAATAAAACAGGCTCCCAGGGTCCGCCCTGGGCAGACGCCTCATGTTGCACCTGCCTCTCTCGTCTCCTGTGATCTTTCATTCCTACATCTGGTGACCCACGACGTGCCAGATCCCTTCACGCAGCCTCATACTTCACTCGACTGGAGAAGTCTTAGCCGGCTACACCGTGAGTATGGGGGGGGGGAGCTTACAAAGTCCCAGAAAGTGCATGCTACTGAACTGCTTCATTTAGTCAGACAGAGAGGTGCAGGTGCTCATGTTTCTTTAAAGGAAATTGAACGTTTGTTATGTGAAATTGCATTTCAATGTCCCTGGTACCCTGAGGCGGGCTCCTTGGGGGTAGAGGCTTGGCAAAAGATTGGAAAAACTTTTTTTGCAGAACCCAGGGCTCCTATTCATTGTCTGCTTACTTGGCAGATATGTGCAGATGCCGTTGCAAAATTAGGGCCCCTGGCCCCTCAGGCGTCTCCCACGGCTCCTGCACTTCTAACTATTGCAGACAATCCCCCTCCTTACCCCAAGCTTTTGCCTCCTGCACAATCCTGCCAATCCCTCCCTCCTTCCCCTGCTTCCACCCAATCCATCCCCCCTTCCCCCCCACCTGCGTCTGCTTCTACAGGAGCTATGCCTCAGTCCACACCCATTCCCCCTTCCCTCCCTCCTGTGTTTCCTTTGCCTGCACCTGCTTCTTCAGAAGCTGTGTCTCAGCCAACATCCACTTCCCCCCCTCTTTCTTCTCCCCCACTTTCTTCCCTCCCTCCTTCCACCCCTCCCTTGCCTGCCTCAGCTCCTGCCTGTTTCACGGGAGCTGTCCGTGTTGCACTTTCTCAAGCAAGGCAGAAAGGGCTCCTATCCTTAGAGGAAGAGTCTGAGTGGGCTGGGGTGTTGCCATCTGCTTTCCCTATTTCTTATGCAAACCCAGGCACAGTGCAACAACAGGTGCTATATGAAACCCTTCCCTATTCTGTAATGAGAGAATTGAGAAGGGCCATTGCTGATTGCAGTTTAAAATCCACTTATGTGACAGGAATGCTGGATGGAATAGCAACTGCTTCAACTGCAATCGCCCAGGACATTTTGCAAAAGAATGCAGAGCACCTGGCGGTGGGGCGCACAGGAATGGTGATGCCAATAAGGCTAAACCTTCCAAGAAATGCCCAAAGTGCGGTAAAGGCTATCATTGGGCAAATCAGTGCAGGAGTTCGGGAAACTCCTTAGGGGCCCCACTCCCGGGCCAGGACAAATAGGGAGCCCCCCCGCCGTTAGTCTCCACTATTAAAACCATCTCAAAGGATACACGCTCTGATTTTACTATCGACTTAATTAATCAAAAAACCAAAGACACTGTTTTACCTGGTGAAATTGTGCTTATGACCACCCAATTACCTCCTAAAGTCGCAGGCTTAATTTTACCCAAATTTTCTGCGGCAAAAGAAGGAATCCAGGTTATTCCTGGCGTTCTGGATCCTGACTATGTAGGCACAATAATGGTTCAGTTTTGGAGCCATATGCCCATGCAATTAAAAAAGGGTGAGTCTTGGGCGCATTTGGTGGTGCTCCCTTCTCATCCTACTGCTTCCATTATGGATATTAATTTGCACGAGCTTTCTTTTTTCCCTCCACAGCTTTTAGCTGTAATCCAACGGATTGGTCATCAGAAACTTCTTCGTAAGTACAAAATCAATGGAAAAGTTCTGGAAGGCTTGATTGACACGGGCGCAGACATTTCTGTAATTTCCAGTGATTGCTGGGACCCCACGTGGCCCCTTGAGTCTGCCTCTGCAGTCTTGGGTGTGGGTGGCCCACAAAATTCTTCCAAAAGCGTACAGTGGCTGCCTGTTTCTCTGCCTGATGGTTCTAAAACCATTGCATACATCCAGCCCTGTGTGCTGAAAATCCATCTCAATCTGTGGGGAAGAGATTTATTACAACAATTACAAGCTACCATTCAATTTAATGAGTAAGCTTGCACTTCCCCTCAACTGGAACTCTTCTGGTTGTGTCCTGGCTATACGTTTAATTACATTCCAGCAAACATCAGCCATGGCACACCTTGCTGTTTAAGCCGTTTGTCCATCATTTTACCCAAGAAACATCATTTATCCCACTCTTGATATCGCCGCTCTGTGAAATTGACTAACGATTGTGATGCTTTTGTCTCCTTTTTCAGTAGGTCCGAATATATCTCTTTAGTTGTTTCTCTCTTAGGAGTTCCTGGATTGGCTGTACGGAATCGTATGAACATTAATTCTTCAGCTTATTCTGCAGAAAAAGCCCTGAATTTTACTTCAGAAGCTCCTCACCTTTTGAATAAAGAACAGAGTGGACTACATAATGGACTTTTACAAAATTGTGCTATTGATTATCTATTGATGATTCATCATTATGGATGTGAACAAGTTGACAACATGTGTTGTTTTAATATTACTGATAATTCTAAAGCCATTTAAAGCCAAATCTCTCATTTGCAAAATCTTACACATCACATTAAACAGGACGTTGGTTTTCCTGGCCTCTGGGACCCTTTCACCCAGTGGCTTACTGCTTGGCTACCTAATCTTACCTGGCTTCGTAATCTCTTTCAATATGCCCTTGTCATTATATGCATCTTAATTTTGTTATGTTGCTTCCTCCAATGCGTTCCTGGCCTCATAAGTCTTTTCTCTCGGCTTCTCTCTCCCCCTCAACCACCTAATAAACTCCTTGCTGCCTACTTTGCGAAATGGCAACACCAACAGTAAACCTAAGGTGAGATGTGGATGGGCTTATTTTGGGCATGCGCTGGCAAACCACGTATCCCGAAATATTTCTGTCCCATCGACCCTGGCGAACTTATTTTGGGCATTTGCTGGCACACCACTAATCCTGAAATATTTTTGCCTTATCTACCCAGAACGCCTCGCAAACAAGAAAAGAAAGGGGGAGATAAAGGGAAGTCCTCTTTCTGCATATAACTGCTAGTTCTCCTTCTGCACAAAACTGCACAAAACTGCTGCATTTTGGGGAAGCCTTGCACCTCTTTTTCTTGCATTCTGGAAAGTCTCGCTTACAATCTGCTTCTGCACAAACTGTACAGATCTGTTCTAAACACCAGGACATTCTTTTCCTTGTTCAGTCATCCTAAGCTCATGGAAAACAACATGACCCGCTCTTCATGCCTAGCTGACCACATCTACAGAACTTGATTGTTATATTGTTTCATGCCATGATCCATCATTACAATTTAATTAGGAGGCTTCATGCCTGTCTAGTTCTACCTTCGATTCCCAGCCGATTCCCAGCCTTTAATCCACCGATAATAAATGATCATACGTAACCCCCATTTCTCACATGTAATTCCCGCCTTATGCTTATGTTAACCAATCAGCAACAAGTTTCTTTGTGTATGTATGTATCAACCAATCAGCGACAAACACACCTGTGGCAATGCTTGTAATATTCAATAAAACAGGCTCCCAGGGTCCGCCCTGGGCAGACGCCTCATGTTGCACCTGCCTCTCTCGTCTCCTGTGATCTTTCATTCCTACAGCCTAGAATCTGAATGTTAACTTGACCAAGTAGAACACTCATTGTGGAACAGAATACAGACACCAGTCAGTAACTAACCTGACTCCTTTCTCTATTCCTCTATGCAGTGATATTGATTTGGCTGGATAGAAGGTGGGTGACGCAATTACATATACTTGATATAGGAAATGAGCCAATTGAGCCAAAGTTAAGCACTTTGAAATTCAGTTGAGTTTAGTGAGTTATAAAGTTAAGAAGGTGCTAAGTTCCCATTCAAATCAGTGGAAATTGTGTTTAATTTGTGCTAGATTGTGCCAGTGATGTTACATAATTGATGTTGTTGTGGGGGAGTTGTTGCTGCTGCTGGGTTTTTGTATCTTTATTATAGATCTTGTTGTGATTTATCTG